TGACCTTGCCCCAGGAAGACTCCAACAGCACCCATTCTCCCTGTCTCCTGACTTCCACTCTGGCCTCTGATGGCATTCTAGAAGGAACTTTACAAAAGGCAAAGTGGGGTGTATCACTATGTGAAACAATGGCTTGTACCCCTGGGGAAAATCAAAGCTGGAGGGCAAGAGGAGGTCAAGGCTTTCCCACGCACTGGTCATCCCCACATGGGCAACTTTCCCTTTAGCTTGGTTGTCTGGCTGCCTCCTTCTATTCCACTTACATGCCACCTCCTCCAGGAAGACCCCCCTGTATCTCCCTGCTAAGCCCCTGCAGTTCACTTGGCCAGGGTCTGTCTCAGGCATAGGCTTTAAGCTCCATGAGGACAGGTTCGTGTCCATATTGCCCTCCCCTGTGTACCTGGGCCCAGATGAGGATCTGGCATGCGGTAGGTGGGCATTCGTCTTGTGGACTGTCTACTGGGAGGCGAGGCATGGGTGGTGACTTGCCACAGGGAGCTGGTGATGGTGCTAGGGACCCCTCTTTTCTTCCTCTTCCCCTAGTCTTTCTAGGACTGTCCAGAAGGAAGCTGGTTCTTGGGAAAACTGAGGAGGGGGTCCTCATTCCCGTCCCCGTCCCAGCCTTGGACTCAGCATTGTAGCAGGGCCAGGTGTGTCTTTCCACCCGGCTGGACTGCAGGCCCCGGCGTCTCAGTCCAGTGTGAAAGAGCAGGACACAGATGGCTGCATTCGAAAGCAGGTGCAAATGCCTGGCGCATGAGCACATTTTCTTTTTGAGGGGGTGGCATCAGCCCAAATTCACCTCTAATTACAAGAACATCTTGCCTTTTGAGAAAGTGAAGAATTTCAGGGGAGTGTAGGGAGACATTTCAGGCAGGCAGGCTCTCCTTCTGCCAGGAGCCCATTCTGGGTTTCGTCAGCTTGTGGAAACCACTACCAACAGCCAGGGAGGCAGGGCCAGCAGAGCCTCAGGCCCCGGACATCTCTGCCAGGCTGCCCCAGCTGGCCAGGGAGTCTCTTGACGCTGGCCTTCATTTTGGAGGAGGCTTGGGTCTTCCCTAGCAGCATGTCCTGTGGTGTAGACATGAGGAGCATGCAGCGGCTTCTAGGACACCCCACTATGCCCTGCCTGCAGCCCCACTCAAACCCAGTACCCACCCCCTCCATCTCGCCCACTGCACATCTGTGGCTCCAGCCAAAGCCCCAGGTACCTCCTGGACACCGACTCTGCCCTCAGTGTGTGTGCTGCCCACCCACCTTCCCCACCTTCCTCATGTCGCCCCCTGTAAGGGCTCTCCTCTCTCACTGGAGTTGTCACAGCTGCCTGGACTGGGAGCTTCTGCTCACCCATCACAGGTGTGGTCATGTCACACACACACACAGCACAAGTTCACATGCTACAAGTGTACACACGTACGATGTTATGCACACTCACACACAAATACATTGCACACAGATGCTGCTCACGGGTGCACACACTCCACATGCTCCCCCACACCCCTTCAGCCCAGAATGTCCCCCCCATGTGCTTGGAGGGGCCCTATCTCTGTGTCCTTCCTAGGGCCCACAGGGGACCCACCCTCTCTGACCTCACCTGCTCTCCTCTTCCCCTGGCTTGCACGTGGTAGATCAGGGCATCAGGCATGCGGGTGTTGGGGGGCAGGTTGCAATTTCACAGCCCTGTTTTTTCTATTTCTGTAGCACTGATCTCTCCCAGAAGGCATGATGCCTCCATTTCTCTGTTTAGAGTTTGCCCGCACCATGCCAAGCTCATGAGTGCTGGGTCACAACTGTTTATATCACACACACACACACAAAATAAATGTTTCTTTTTAAAACTTTTAGATTTACAGAAAAGTTGAAAAGCTAGTGCCAAGCTCCTGTGTCCCCAACACCCAGGTTCTATCACTTATATTGCCACGTGATTTGTCACCAAACGAACAATATTGCCTGAACCCTGTGCGGTGGGCAGATGTCCCTGGCTCCTCCCTAATGCCCTCTCTGTGCTCCGTGACCCCACCCTGAAGCCCACATGACATTTCATCATCGAATCTCCCGAGGCTCCTCCAGGCTCAGCTGAGCTCTCAGCTTTTCCTTGTTTTTGATAACTGACCATTCTGAGAAGTGCTAGTCGGGTCATTTTGTAGATTGTCCCACAATTTGGGCGATCTGATGTTTGGTTCATGGTGACATTGGGATGATGGGTTTGGGGGAGGAAGACCACATGAAGTACCCCTCATCCTGTGGCATCCAGGGTATGTATTAGGCACAGGATGATTCCTGAGGATGCAGGCCTCCATCACCTGGCTGAGGCATAGCTGCCCAGGGTTCTCCACAGGGAAGCCCCATCTCCCACCTTCAATAGGTACTCTTTGGAAGCAAGTCACTAAGCACTGTGCACACTTCAGGGGTGGGGAGCTATGCTCTGTCTCCTAAAGAGGGGAGTATCTACCAGAATTATTTGGAATTATTCTGTGCAAGAGATTTGTCTCTTCCACCTACTTATTTAATGATGTCTATCAGTCTGGACTCGTGGATATGCCATGCATTGGGTCACAGTCCAGTACTGCCTTGCTAGTCCCATGTCCCAGCTGCGGCCCTTGGGAGCTCTTTCTGTCAGCTCCTATGTCCCTGGAACCTGCAGCCATTACTGGGGCACTTCCTTCCTGACACCATATGATGCTCCGGGTTTTTTTTTTGTTTTTTTTTTTTGAGACAAGTTCTGTCACCCAGGCTGGAGTGCAATGGTGCGATCTCAGCTCACTGCAATCTCTGCCTCCCCAGGTTCAAGCAATTCTCATGCCTCAGCCTCCCAAGTAGCCGGGACGACAGGCGTGCACTACCACATCCAGGTAACTTTTGTATTTTTAGTAGAGATGGGGGTCTCACCATGTTGGCCAGGCTGGTCTCGAACTCCTGGCTTCAAGTGAGGCACCCGTCTCAAGCCTCTCAAAGTGCTGGGATTACAGGCATGAGTCACCACCATGCTTGGCCAGAATAAGCTATTTTCAGCAAGAGCCTGGTTCGTTTGATTGGAGAATGGCACTACTGTTAAGGCCTGGTGGTGTCATGCTTCAAGGTCCTCTCAGAGCTCCTGGGGAGAGCTAGGAAATAGACGTGTATATACTAACCCTCTGCACACCTATGGAGAGAATTCTTGCTTCTTCCATCGACACTGTATTAAGCTACACATCCTCACATCACCAGGACCCTTGGAAAGTCACAAACTTTCTCTATGTCAATCTTCCTGGGACAGCAGTTTAGATCAGTTTACAGAGAGCAACCAGCCATGTGGCAAAGGTATCTATCTTCTTTTGGCGCTGGTGGTGGTGGCTCCTAGCATCTAGCTTGGGAAATCTGCTGAACACCCCACAATCCCCAGGACGGCCCCCACCAGAGCTGGAACCAGACCCGAAGATCAGCAGTGCTGGGGTGAAGGCCTGGGGTGTACAGGGGTGGTAGGAGGGAAGCCCGGGAGAGCCCCTGCCGCTCCCCTGACCACGTCATGTCCTGCTGGTGGTCTTTCTCTTCCCTCCAGAAGCAAGCTCCATGCAGAAAGGGCTCTTCCCTCTTTCTGTGGCTGCCGTGTTCCACCCCCATGTGGCTGGGCCCTCGGCAGGGCTCGGTGTCTAATGATCCCATGGTGAAAGGGGAGCTGGAATGGGGCTGAAGCCACCAGAAGGTCAGCCTTGGAAGGGAATTACAGTGGGTTTTCCCGAAAGAGGGGTGAGTGGCAGGCAGGGTGACAGAAGGGAGGCCCGACCCTGCAGCAAGGCTGGGGGCAGTGAGGGCTGCAGGGCCTGAGGGCGGGGCTTCATCTCCCCTTCCTGGGCACCCATGAACTGTGTTGTGGCATAGCCCAGGCATGGGGAGTGCTCAGAAGAAAGGGCTGAAGTCCTGGCCTTAGCAGAACAAGCAGGGGGCACCCACACCCCCGCCCTGCCCTGAGCTGTGCCCCAAGGCCTGCACCTCTGGGGTGGGCACCTGCGTGAGCGAAGTCCTCTCTGCTCTCTTCCTAACTTTTCCCAGCACCTCATTCTCCCTTTTACCTCACCTCTCTCACCTTTTACCCCATTCTCCCAAGGTCTTTTCTGTCTGGTCAGCTGCAGGGCCTGGCTGGTATAACTCAAGGGACTTAGGCTGGGGGCAAAGGGGCTGCTGGTTTCCTGGCCTGCTGTCTCCCAGAGAGCCTGAATCCTGGCACCTCTGCTGACAGCACCCAGCAAGGAGCCAGGATGTGCCCCACAGCCTCTGCAGAGAGGGCCCTGGGGAAGCTCCCCTCTGGCCCCCTTTCCCCTGCCTGAGAGAGGACACAGCTAGTGGAAGGACTCAAGTATGGACTTCAGGGGTCCCTCAGCCCCCAGAATTTTCAACTCTGAGTGGCGTTCTTGCAGTGGGGGAAGCGCCACTACTCCTATGGGTCCAGACTTCATTTTGGAAACTCTGCTGGCTCTAGCAGGAAGGAGGCTCACCCTTGCTTCTGTGCTCAGGACAACTGTGGGGACACTTTGCACCCCAAGTCCTCCTAGCCATGCCCAGTGTCTCCCACCAAGCCTTGTCCACACAAGGAGGGTCAGGCCACCCTGCCTGTCACACCCCCGTTTTCTTGTCTTTTCATCTTTTTGCTCTGTCCATCCACCTATCCATTGGTCCATCCAGCAAGAACCTGAGACCTGCTCTGTCCTGAGTGTGTGAGAAAGTCCTACCCTTTGTGGTCTAGTCTGGTGAGGGAGGCAGGCGCCAGGAAGGTGAGCCCACAACTCCCCGTTGTTCTGATGCCATGAGGCAGGGCCATCTGCAGTGAGAGCAATCACAGTGGGGACAACTGGTTCCACGAAGGAGTCGGGGAATGGCCATGTTTCCAGCACGACCCCCAGGCAGCCACCATGGGTCAGAAGCAACCCAAGACTGTCAGACACTGCACTTGCTTCGAGGACTCTAGCAGGCAGAGCTGGGCTCTATTTAGAATAAATAAAAGAGCAAACATCCACCACTCTTTCTACACAAGTTTATTAGGTACCTGCTGGGTGCCACATGTGTGGAAACGAACTGGGCAACAGAACAAACCACAAGGCAGCTATGGCCTTGCCCTGGAGCTCCTGGCCTAGCAGGGGTGTGCAACAGATGAGCCCCCCAGCAGAAGCCCCAGGCCCTGCACGCTGTGAGGTGGGGGAAGGAGGGGAGGCCTTCCCAAGGAGGCGGCAGTGAGGGTGGAAGGAGCCTCAGGAAGGGGAACAGGGATGGGGGGGTGGCACTGCATCCTGTAGGTGCTTGCTGCTGAGGCTGGGGGGTGAGTGAAGATCCCAGCAGTGGGGACCCATGGGAGACTGGCAGAGGAGTGGCACAGCGAGGTTACCACTCCCCGGCCACCCCAGGGGACCCGGCAGGTGACATGACAGGCCCCTCTTGCATCTACTGCCCTCTCCACTCCCGGCATGGCTGTGGGTGTGGTGTTCTCCAGAGCCCTTCGGGAGAGCCTCCACCCAACCCTCTGAATCAGGCACAACAGGATTGAGGGGGGGCCCTCCGGAAGGGTCCTTTCTCTCACCTTCCACTCGAAGTTGGACCCAATTTCACAATGTTACTCAGGATCTCCCCTCCTGCACCCTCCCAGCCCTGCCCCATCTCAGTGGCCTGTGGTGGACCCCAGACCCATGGACACGGGCCCTCTCTGCACAAGGGCTCACGCGGTACTCAGCCAAGGCCCTCTACCCAAACATGCACATCAAACTCGCCTCCCAGCCACTCCATCTCTGTCTCAGCTCCTAGGCGGCCTTGGCGGCAGGCTCAGGGCACCTTCAACAGTTCATCACAGCTCTGCCCTAGCCTCACGCGCTGCCGTCTGGCCTTGCCGTTCTTCTTCTGAAGGCTATTCTCTGCTGGCTCTGCTGGCTACCTTGATCTGAGTGGCAGGTCTGTGCTAATGATGTTTCATGTGGGGCCCCCGGAGAAGAGTCCATGAAACATTGCCTAATTCAAGTGCTGCCATGGTGAAGCACCCCTGCCTGGTTCTCAACAAACACAGCACATCAAAGAGGAGCTGGCAGCTCACTCCCCAGCAAAGCGGCAGGCCAGTTCCTCACAGTCAAGGAAAACCACTGGGAGAACTGCCCTGCTTCTGCTGAAGACCTGAGCTGCTTCTCCCGTGTCCTCCAATGCTGACGGGCCTCTAGCGTCAGCTTCATGTGGCTGATTCTGGATTTCTTTAGGAAGATGAGACTGGCTGATGAGAACTGTCAGTGTGAGTCGGTCTGGCCACTCTGCCTGGGAACATTCACAAAGAAGATATGAAATAGCTGGAAAGTTAGGAACCCAGCTAGGGCTGGAGGGGGAGGTCTTTGAGGATTACTCTTGAGTGCTGCCAGTGAAGGAACAATGGTCAGGCCTCAGACTGGCTCTCTCTAGGGACCTCCTCAGGAAGAGGAAGGCCGGAAATCTAACTGCAGAGCACATGTGGATAAACCTGTGGCTGACTGCATTCCATGGGATCGTCTCATATGCAGCAGTAAGAAGGGTCTGCTCCACCAATGCTCTGCCGCCTTTTTTTTTTTTAAATAGCAACTGGCTTGGAGTCTCCCATGTATTGTCTGAGGACATTTGGTGGTAATCAGCTACCAAAAGTCCTCCAATTTTAGGTGCCTGTGGGTGGTGCAGTCACCACCAAAAATGGATCGAGCCATTTCTAAAGAAGTCCAGTGGTGACTCCACAGTAGGCTCTGACTGGCAGGTGCATCTGAAGAGGGCCTGATAGGCCTTTATTCAAAACTAGACACGCCCAACTCCAGCTTGAATGGACATGTGCGGAAGATGTGATATGGAAACCTGCAGAGCAGCCGGGCCGGTGGACTCAGAGTCCTGTTCTTACCTCCACAAGGATCTTGTTTACCAAACACTCTGCTTATCAAACATTTCCTTCAGAGGGCAAAGTTTAACTCCCATCTAGAAGAGGCTGAAGTACCATGGTTTTCAAACCAGGAACATGGCACTAATGAGGCAGAGCTCTGGAGAGGCACAGCTGCAGAAGGCTCCAGGGACCCTTGGAAGTAGACAGGTTTGGGATAAAAAGAAAGAGAAAAACAGGGCAAAGGATTAATAACAGAAACAAAACCAGGTGCACATACTCACCCGTGGCGTGATCCCCCTCGGTCACACTTCAACTTGATGTCTTGCTTCCAACGCCCAGAACGGCCATCAGAGAAACTTACTTTTATGGGCAAATTTTAGGCTGTTGTTTATTGTTGATTTAAGAGAAAGGCAGTTATGGTTTTGAAAACGTGGCCCTTTTTCTGATGGGGAAGAGCAGATTTCAATGAAATGGGTGTGGAGTCCTAATCTCCAAGGCCTTTGTGTGTGATCTGAGACACGCCATCTTACCCAGATTCAACTTATTCAGGGCCCTCAAGAACAGAGTGCAAGAAGCCAGGCTTAGAGAAGCCTGTTTTGCAGTCCCCTGGTTGGCAGGAGGAAGGAGGCTGGGCTGTGGTGCTCCACGGACCCTGCAGGGCCAGGGCAAGGAACGGGAACCCAAGCAGAAACCAGGCAAGTGAGCCTGCGACCCAGCCCATCATGAAATGGTAGAGCAGGTGAACCCATCTACCTCTGGTCCCAACCTTTGTCACAGACAAAAAAACCCAGGCCCACACAGGTGACCACAACCTCAGTTGTGAGGTAGAACAGCTGAGACCCAACCTCAGGTCCAACAGGTGCTCAAGGCAAAGGGGTCCTCACATCCCCACCCCAGGTGACCCTCTCCGGGTGCCAAACGCTGGTCGGTATGATCACTGCAGCTATGCCATCCAGTGGAGAGGGATTTGGGCACTCTGTGCCCCACCAGAGCCCCTAGGTTCTCAATCACCAGAGTTCAGATGCCTGCTCCAGTGGGGGCACCAAAAATGGCAAAGAGATGCCTTCGTGGCGTTGCCACAGTGAGCGCCAGCCACTCATGCACCTGACCTGGTGTTTTTGTCATGGAACCGGAGATGCAGCCTTGGGCACTGACCACTGAACCACACAGATGGGGCTCATTTCCTCACCTATCAAGAAATAAAAACATGAAACCCACAAGGCCCTGCCTCCTGGCCTAGCTGCCAAGATGAGGCTGAGCTGAGTCCTCCAGAAGTACCAGGTCGACGAGGGGAGGGAGGCACCAGAGGCCAAATCTCCAGAGCCACACACAGCACCTAGATACCCACCACAGGAAGCTCTCCAAGGGTGCCCCATCCAAGGTCTAGGGAAGAGCTCTGACTACAGGCTGAGTCCCAAAGGGCCAAGGAAGATTCCAGAAGCACCAGCAAGCCTCCTCTACACTGTCAAGCAAGAGGCCTCAGAGAAAGGCAGCCTCTCCCAGATGGACCCTATATTAGTTTGTTTTCACACTGCTGGTAAAAACATACCTGAAACTGGGCAATTTACAAAAGAAAGAGGTTTAATTGGACTTAAAGTTCCATGTGGCTGGTGGGGTGGCTCACAGCCATGGTGGAACGCAAGGAGGAGCAAGTCACATCTTACATGGATAGCAGCAGGCAAAGAGAGAGAGCTTGTGCAGGCAAACTCCTGTTTTTTCAAACCATCAGATCTCGTGAGATTCACTTTCATGAGAATAGCACAAGAAAAAGCCCCTCCCATACTTTAATCACCTCCCACTGGGTTCCTCCCACGACACGTGCGAATTTTGAGAGTTACAATTCCAGGTGAGATCTGGGTGGGGACACAGAGCCAAACTATATTAGACCCCCTTCAGTGAACAGAACCCAGCTACCCAATGTGGGGCAGCTCAGCTCAGTTCCTGCTCTCCCTGCCCTCCTCTTGCCACAAGAATTCCATCTTCTAGTTGGGGAGACCTTCAGGCTGGCAGGGCCCTGCTCAGAGGCCTCAGGGCTTCCCACTGCACTTGGAATCAGACCTCGGTGCCACAGCCATGGGCTGCCCTGCAGTCTCCTCAGCCACCCACCTCCTTCCCTGGCCCCTGCTCACTTCCTGCAGCCAGACTGGTTTCCTGCTTCCCTATAGCTCATGGCCCGCTCTTTCCCACCTCAGGGGCTTTCCACAGGCTGTCCCCTCTGTCCAGTGTGCTCTTTCCCCAGCTCCTGTGACTTGGTGGGCTCCTGACTCACTAGAGCATCATCTCGGACCCCTCCATCAGCCCCATCATTTTCCAGGTAGCATTTGAGGGCAGGAGTTTGAAAGGCGACCTCCGGAGCCTGACCAGCCACTGGAGTTCAAATCCAGACTCCGTGACTTTCCTGCTATGTGGCCTTGGGCAAGCTATTTGACCTGGGTGTGTCTCAGTTTCCCCATGAGGTTGCTATGAAGAGTATATAAATACATTCCTCTAACGCCTAGAACAGGGTAGGCACCACAAATCAGTTAAGAGAAAGGGATTCTCTGTGCCAAGAAGCCTAAGCATAGGGCAGGCCATGTGAGCACAGGTTAACCCTAGTGGTTCCTGGAAGCCCACAGGAAGAGACTTGCACTTCTTCAGAAGATGAGGGGATGTTCTAAGCCTTCATGTAGATGGCCCTGAAGGAATTAAGGCCTAGCTATGGTCACAACTACCATGGTCACAGCTACCATGGATTCTTCTCTGAGGCCTGGATGAGCAAGAGAAACTCTGAACCACCAAGGAAAATGAGGGAATTCTGAATACAAATAGGGATGAACACAGGGGTCTGAGGCCCACAAAAGCCCCAACAGAAACTCCCTTCCTCCCTTGAATCCCTTGTGCTGAAAAGCAAGGCCCAGGTTTAAGACCAGCCTGGGCTTCCTCCAGCTTTCCTAAGCATCCCCACCTCAACGAAAATGAGGGAGGCCCAGGGACACACAGATGTTATGTTGCTATGGTAACTGCCCTAGCCCTGTGGTAGGCTGTGCAGGTTACTAAGGGGCCTGCCAAGAGGAAAGCAGGCAGCCATGCTGGCTCCACAGCCCTGGCCCGGCCTCTGGTGGAAGCTCACTGCCCGCTTTCCTTTGCCGTCCCCTCCCCAGGCCTGGCCACTCAATGCTCATCCATCAGCCCAGGTCTCCCAGACCAGTGTCACAGCAAAGGCAAGAAGGCCCCACCCAGAATGCAGTTGCTGGGCCCCTGCCCAATTCTGATGATGACCCTTGTTTCTTATAATAATAGCTCCACTGTACTGCAGGGAGGGAGCAAGTGCCAATGCCTAGGGAGGCCAGGCCCCACTCAGAGATGAGTGACAGGCACAGGTGGTGGCAGGCACCGGGTGCATGTGCTGCTGGCCAACAGGGGGCAGCCGTCCCCTAGCTATGGTTGTCTACCAACATGAAGAGGCAGACCCCAGAAAACTAGAGGCTCCATGAGGCCAGGAGAAGTCAAATGGCCAAAGGTTTCTGTAAAATCTGCTCACACCTAACCATTGGCGGTTGTCATCATTCATCCTTAAAGGAACTCCTATGTGGCTGAAACCGTCTTTGGGTGGGAGCAGGCCTGGAGAGCAGCTTCCGGCTCCATTCCACGATGGTGGCTGGTCACCAATTAATTTTTACTATTAATAATAGCGGCGATCACCTTTCCGAGTGTCATGTGCTGCTTGCTCTTACTTAATCCTCTCCTGGCCCCTTCCCTGAAGTCAGGAAACTGCCTTGGCAGATATATCAGTCACCCAAAGGCCCCGGGGTGGAAATTGAGGTGCTGAGGTTAGTGCTCACATCTCTCTGATGCCAGAACGGGGCTCTAAACCACCGGCTCTGCTCCTACGTGTCCCCCTGAGCTAGGGCTGGGCTCTGACCTCTCCCCTCTGGCCCTGTCCTTGGTGCTTTCACACAGTTCTGCCTGCCCCTGGCCCCAGCACCTGCGTTCCTGCCCGCCATCCCTGGCGCCTGGCGCTCACTCATATGACCCTTCCTGCTACCTCTTCATAGGCACTCCACAGGCTGGCCTTCTTCCCAGGCCCTAATCCCACTCGGCTCTCCTGGCCATATCTAGCCACAGCGAGGCAGTGGCCTCCAAATCCCCCTGCCACTCCATCCTGCTGCCAACTGAGCTTCCATTTGGCCTGTGACATTTAAAACTCTCTGTCTAGCCTTGGCATATAGAACCCAATCCCCCCAGCTGTTTAAATACCACTGCCTCATTCGGCCCCCATGCCTGTGTATCCAATAAAAGCATAAACTGACCCTGAACACGGGACCACTCTATTCCAATCATGCCATTCGTAATTCAGCTCCTTTGTCAAATGGGTCATCAGTGCAAGCCAATTCCTGCCCCTACAAGAAGGCTGGCAAGGTTTGGGGGGCTTTGGAGCGGCAGGTCAAGGTGCGGCCATCGGTGTCCGCCTGTGACGGAAGCACATGCCTGGAGCATGGGGTGATGTCCGTCACAGCTGTCCTCTCCCTGTCTCCCGACCCCAGTGGGCCCCATGGCCTTGCTATTAATACAGTGCAAAGAGGCCCAGCAGCTGGCTGGGGCCAGGTCTTTCCACGTGGATGGGGACAACTGACATCACCCTGATGTGTGCTCTGCATGTTCCCAATGTACCTTCTGTCAGAGGGGCAGGGCTGCAGTCCCCTGGGGTACTGTCTGCTGAAAATATCCACTCTGCCTAGGCAATGGGGGAAATCACCAATCATCAACTCGGGAGTGGTGAAAGGGGTTCAAAAGATGGGTGGTCACTTTAGGACACTCCTAGTGCTCACAGGAGCAAGAGTCCGCTCCCCTAACCACGTCATCAGCCTACAGTAGCACAGAGGCCCCAGGCCAGAGGCTTCCTTTCTCATCACTGATGCGTGGGTCCAGCACAATGCCCAGCACAAACGCACAGTCAAGTACACATCTGTGCAATGAGGAACCCCCTCAAAGGGCCATACAGACACAGGAGTCTTCGTTTTCTAGACATGCTCTCTTTGGGGAGGAAGAAGTCACCTTGAACATATCCCCAAAGAACCCATAAAGAACAGAAGAACCCACTCTACTGTCCAAAACTGCCAGGGGTGAAACACTTTGATTTCTGGGATTTGCTGTGAAGCCTCCAGAACAAAAGGTGGAGGTGACAGAGGAAACCAGAGAAGCAGAAGCTGATG